TCATCGGACGCGGCGTAGTGCGTCTTCTGCACCTGCACTTCAGCTTCTAATGCCTCACATTGTCGTAGCTGAATGCTGCATTGCCGCTTGCTGGCACTCTCCATCGTGGCCGCCATCAACGCACCGTGCTTCTCCATGCAATCGGTCATTGCCTCGAATGTCTGCTGCCGCGTGCTCTTCATCTTTCCAAACGCACCAGGGCGGCCCATCGTCTGGGAAGAACCACGAGTCGATCCGTCCTGACGGGCTTCATCGGCAAAGTTCGTCTACGTCGACGCCACGGCGCGTTGCCGAGGAAACACACGTGAAACACTATGACGACGACCAGCAAAAAGACGACGAGAAGCAGTAGCGGCAGCTTGCGAAAGACGTCAGCCATTAGCCGGACGACGACAACGGGACTAGACGGAAGACAACACGGGCGACAACATAACATCAAGATATCTGCAGACGGCGATACGCGCTTGGCGACAAACGGAAGCCGTCGTGTTGTGGACGGGCTGTGCCGCCTCAAATATTCGCATTTGCCGACCGTTGGGCGGTTTCCCGCTTCGGTTGAAGCCCAACCCCAAGGTGCACCACGGTGTGCACCTTGGGGATGCTACCGGCCCGCAAACGGTTACCGTTGGCGTGGACATCGGGCCGCTTGAACGTTGGCGACCCAACATGTTCGTGCGCAAGTCGCCCGGACCACCGATGGACCAGACGCCGCCGACAAAAGAAGTCGATTGAGGTGCCGTCGAAGACCCCGTTCTTCCACATGGGGGAGCTCCGAGGATCCTACAGGAGGTTCCTTGGGGAAAAATGAAAATTGCCTGTAGCCCGAGGAATCCCCGAGGAAATCCCGAGGAATCCCGGTCACGTTTTTTTTTATTTTTTTCCCCCGAGGACAAGTGGAACGACGATTTTGTTGGGGGATTTCGGCCCCCGAGGAGTGTCGAACGAGCCCCTATGGTCCGTGTGCCCACTCAAAGGCAGTCGTCTTGACTGCCACAGCCATCATGATGGTCAGTGAATCATACCCTGACATCTGACACCCTGCCTGGAGCAGACACCATCGGTGGGAAGAGCAATTTCTTTTCTTTTTTAGCATTTTTGTTTTTTCATTTTTTGGGGGCATGAAATGGTTTTTGTTTTCATTTTCCATATTACACTCAACCACCCACCCATCCCCAGACCGTCCCACGCCCTTCACACTAATTCAAATACATGGCTAGTGGGACCTCGCCCCAGGGGCCTTGTCCCTTTTTTTTTTTTTTAAACCAAGCTCCATCGATTGGTGGGGAGCAGCACCTGCTGGAAACCGGGTCCAGCGTCCCATAGATACGACCATATCCTCACAAATTGGCACAAACTGGGAACGGGCCCCAGCGTCCCATAACGAGTACGGTCAGAAAACTCATCAGAAAATTTCATGAAAATGAGACAAGGAACTACTAGAAAAATCTTTTTTTTTTTTTTTTTTTTTTTTTGAATTGGCCTAAGTTTGGAATTTTGAAAATTGAGATACCGGGGCCATTTGCCCGGCTCCCACTAGCGCCGTTTTACTTGTCAAAATAGTGCTGTGCTATGTATGCACTTTTAGCATTAAAAAAATGGTTGTTATTTTTAGAACTTGCTTTCATTTCTCAGTGCTCCCGTCAGCCCATGCGCTTGGAGCCATCAAATCCGGCATCGCTACACCAGTCATGGTATGTGAAAAGGCCAAAACCTATGGCAGGTGTAACTTTCTGTGTCTGTGCGAGACATGCATGCTCCATTTTGCACATTCCGGGAGTGGTGTGGCATGGCAAGGGCCGCAAGGCCCTTCATTGCCTCCTTTTCTGGATGGGTGCTCCGCTCACCCAATGGGCTGGGTCCTGCGAAGGTCTGCACTGTCAGACACACAACTTTATTTTCTTTTTTTCTTCTTCTTCTTTTTATTTTTTTGGCAAAACCATCTGGCAGTGTGGCAACCTGCTATTGGAGCTGATACGAGCATCCTCCAATAGCAAGCCCCACTTTACAGATGACGCCAATCTATTGGTGGGGAGCATCACCTGCTGGAAACCGGGTCCAGCGTCCCACTGACAAGATCAGAGAAGGTATACCTGGCAGAACATCATTGATTGCCCTCTCACGAGGGGATTGACTGTCTGCCTAATTATTTTTTAGCAGCCAGGTCACAACATGTATCACGGTCTAGCCATGTAGAGGGTGACAAAGTGTCTTCCAATCTACACTATCCTTCACAGTCAAAGTTGTGCACGGCAAACCCTAGGCCCTCTCCCTCCATAAGGCTGCTGCCCAGCTCCGTGATTCTTACATTTTCCACAAGGTCGTCTGCCTACCCTCCCTTATCCTTTTTTTTTTCCTTTTTCAGAAGAGTATGAAAAGTATTTGAGTGTGTTAGAAGTTAGAAACTGGCACCCTGATGCCGGCAGACCGGCGAGGCCCGGTCCTCCCGGCTAGACTTGCGCCCGGGGAGAGGAGCTCCCCGGCTGGGCCTGTGGCGCGCGCCCGGCAGATGCCCGCAGCTCTTTGATTGGCCACGTGACACCTGCTGTAGGTGTCGTGAATGACCAACGATGCGCGGACAGGGGTTGCGCCAGCCATGGAAACGATGAGCACACGAATAGGGGCACACTTTCCCGGGTTAGAGAGGGGGTTGGTGGGGGAGATACATCATAGAGATACGTCTTTTGACATGGTTGATGACGTCTGGATCAGAGAGGATGATGGCCAAGATGAGGTGGATGTGATCAATTACTTTGCACTTCTTAGCGCTGTCTACGTGGATGGGGGAAGCGGGGTGGATGAGCAGGCGGAAGAAGATGTCTTCAACTTTGACACTGATGAGGACAGCGACACGCCCTTTTACACGGATGATGACGTCGGCCAGGGAGAGGCTGATGGGCAAGATGAGGGCGATGTGGCCAAATACTATGCACATCTTACCGCGGTCTACGAGGATGGGGGAAGCGGGGAGGATGAGCAGGTGGGAGAAGACGTCGTCAACTTTGACTCTGATGATGACGGCGATATGCCTTTTCTCACACATGATGACGACTGCCAGCGAGAGGTTGACGGGCAGAATGAGGGCGATGTGGCCAAACACTCTGCACATCTTACCGCAGTCTACAAGGATGGGGGATTGCAGGATGATGAAGGCTTCGTGCTGCAGGGGGATGGTGACCAGCCGGAGGTGGGGGAGGAGGAGCAGGGGTCTATGGTAGAAGCGGGGGTTAACTTGGATAAGGAACAGAGAATGGGTAAGTTTGGCGAGAAAGAGGCTGGCAGCTAGAATAACACCATCTACAACAGTATTAACAACGATAATACCATCAACAACAACAACTTCAATGGTGGGGTTGGTGGATGGTGGGAGAATCTGAGGATGAGCCCATTTCAGGTCCGTACTGAGACTGTCACTCATCTGCAGCAGTGGGATGGTGACCGGGCAGAGGAGTGGGAGGTTGCACAGGGGATCATGGCAGAGGCGGTGGCTGCCGTGGAGGACAGGCAGGTGATGGGCGAGACCGGTGACAACGGTGGGAGGGCTGACAACACAAACGACAAAAAAAATCACAACACGGTGATCACGGCAGGGGTGGTGGCTGTAGTGGATGAGAGGCAGGTAATGGGTGAGATTGGTGAGAAGGGTGGGGTCCGTGGGGAGGCTGCCAACGGCAACAACAACAACAACAACAACAGTAAAAACAACAACAGGGGAGAGATGCCGCCGACAGCGAAGGGACAGGGAACTACGACCTTGTTAGGGCTTGTGAAGGGGGATTTGGGGTTGATGGGATCGGGCGGAATGGGCGGCGAGAGCGCGTGGGACGACATCAACAGCGAGGCAATTACAACAACAATAACAACATCGACAACAACAACAATAATTACAACAACAACAACAACAACAAGACGTGGGGCTTGTGGTTGAAGGTTGCCACAATGACGGTGGGAGAGTTAATGACGGGGGGGCTGGTGAGGTGGGATTTGAGGTTGAAGGTGAAATCTACCGTTCCCCCCAATTCCTACCTGGTGTTTCATTCCGATGATCCATTTGCTCTTTTTTGGCTTCGGGTGGGAGTTGGATAGATGTTCTTCTCTCAACTCTCATAATCTCAAAATTCATACTTTCATACTCTCATACTCTCATACTCTCATACTCTCATACCCTCAGCTCTTATTCACGTGGCCTCTTATTCGTGTGGCCTCATTAAGGGCTTGATGATTACATTTTGATGTTACGTTTTTCTTTCTGATTGATTCCTTGTTTAGGGTGGGGTGAGCTACGTTTTTCAGACGTTATCATCTCCTCACAACATTGAATAGGGGATAAGTGCTTTATCAGCAGAAGGGCAACTCTTCCCCTGTGTGAGGGGAAGTAATCAACGCGTCTCCTCTTTTCCGAGATACATGTGAGTTTCGCATATATGCTGATTGGCTTCATTCACTGCTGTATAGATCTTACACATAGGACTCCTGTACTTGGGGATCGACCCTTGGTTGATTGACAGGATTGGGCTTGGGGCCTCGCTTGATATGGAGAAACCGTAGTATAGGAATATAGGGTTTTCCCCTCTTGCACACAGATCACATCAGGATTAGGGTTTCGTCTTCTGGTGTGATCAACAGAATTGGGCATGATGCCTTGCTCGCCATGGACATGGTTTGTTTGATGCTTTGATTGATGAACAAGTACTGATAGTACCAGATACACAGTAGGACATAGACAATGGGAGGATAGTTTTTTAACCCCATGGGACATGGATAGAATCTATAGATTGATGAAAAAATACACAGTAGCACACAGGGATGCCGGACCCGATCTCCAGCAGGAACACTTACAACATTCACATCATTGCACAGGGACGCTGGACCCGATTTCCAGCAGATACATTCACATCATCGTATAGGGACGCTGGACCCGATTTCCAGCAGGTGTAGCTCCCCACCAATAGATGGAGCCTTCGGCGCCAGGACCTACTTACCGAGGATGCTCTTATCACCTTGTTAAGTAGGTTYTTTTTTTTTTTTTTTTTTTTTTTTTTAAACACACGCGCTCCATCTATTGGTGGGGAGCAGCACCTGCTGGAAACCGGGTCCAGCGTCCCATAGATACAACCATATCCTCTCAAATTGGCACGATCTGGGAACGGGGCCCAGTGTCCCTTGAGTACGTTCAGAAAAACCATCAGAAAATTTCATGACAATGAAACTAAGGGTATACTGAGGTTACTTCAGAGCTTTTTTGTAAGGAACACTCAGAGATAAACAAAAACCAGAAGAAGACTCGGGAATCCACCAACAGTCCTCCTCACCCCACTCCGGCAAGACTTACCAGCAAAGCCATCATCTCTACTGCTGCTATGCCCTATTTCTGTCCTACCAGCTAGCCCCTTCACTAGCAGGATGCGTGATACCTTTCTCTCTCGATCCCTTACCTTCCCGTTACTCAGAAAAGGTACGGGAATAGACTGCAAAAGTCCTAAAAAAGCCCCCAATCCCTCAAAATCTCTAACAGATCCTTCCAAGGATCTCCAACACTGTCGTATTCCCTGCCGAGGTTCCAGGCCTCACACCCCCCATCCTGCTGGGTTACAGGGCAACACAACTCACCCCAGCTCCGGCCAGCGTCGTCTTAGCACCAACCCTTGCAATGAACATGAGTATAATACTAGGAAAAATAGTCCAAATGATTTCTATAGTGGTTCCATGAACAATTCTCTCTGGAATTGGGTTTTTCTTATAGTGAAAATGCCATAAAACACGAACCAACATCCATAACACGAAGATCAGAATCACCATCAAGAAAGGTTGTCCCGTGGGATGCCCCCCCAAAGCACCCCCAGATCTCTCTACCAGGCCTCATGCCCCTGAATCAACAGGTTACAGGGCAACACCCCAGCACCGGCCAGCGTCGTTCTGGCGTCGAACAGCCTTAGGTCACCGAGTATTACAGCCTTGAAACTACCTAGAAGAGATTGCCAGGAAACCCCAGGATCCAGAAGACTTTTTAAGGATGGAACAGACTACCCCCTTTTTTTGAGAATTGGATTTAACTACGTAAAGATTCGTAATTTGAAAACATAAAAAAGGCCTGGCGGGTCCTAGAATGCTCTTGGAATCCCTAATGCTCCTTCCGAGGCCTTTCAACACTGTCTTACTCCCTGCCGAGCTCTTCCAGGTCGCACACCCCACATCCTGCTAGGTTACAGGGTGACACAACTCACCCCARCTCCGACCAGCGTCGTCCCAGCAGCAACCCTTAGCTGTTCCGTAGGATGCCCACCCCTAAGCATCCCCAGATCTCTCTACCAGGCCTCATGCTCCTGCATCACAGGTCACAGGGTAACACCCCAGCTCCGGCCAGCGTCGTTCTGGCATCGAGCAGCCACAAGTCCCTGAGTATAACAGCATCAAAAACCACCTGAGAAAAGTTGTTAGGGATCCCGAGAGCCCAAAAGCATTCTTAAGACCCCCGAACAGCCATCTGTAAAAAGAAAAAAAAAGAAGGGGGGGAGGTCAAAACTAAATACCAACCATCCTAAAGTCCCCCCCTCAACAAAGGAGCCGTCGGTCTCGGCTTTCGGTCCTCGAAGCAGAGCACACTTGGTCTCATACCCCCTTCTGCATGGGTAACAGGGCACCGCAACCTTCCCCAGTACCGACCAACCTAGTTCCTATCGGATAGGAAGTGCCTTCCTCCCTCGGCAATTCCCATAGCAACAAACCCCTACACAGGTTACAGGGTCAGAACCCCGGCGCCGCTTGTGTTGGACGATCTGGTTATGCCTTCCACCCTCGGCATAATTCCATGGGCCTCAAGCTCCCCCCTGGGTCACAGAGCCAAGCTCCAGCACCGGCCCATGTCATCCCAGCCTCGTCCTCCTGACCTACTCACCTTCCCCGACATCCATCCTCTGATTGAAGGCCACCTTTCCTCCTCCCATCCTCCCCTTTTTAATTCCCCCCCTCCTTCCTTTATCAAAATCAAAATTATCTGAGTTTATAGAACTTCTATAGGAATTTATTGGAAGAATCTTTTCAGAAATTTCTTAGAAGCTTTTATAGGAAAATATTTCGTTTATAGAACTTCTATAGGAATTTATTTGAAGAATCTTTTCGGAAATTTCTTAGAAGCTTTAATAGGAAAATATTTCGAAAATATTTTTAGAAGCTTTTGTAGGAAAATATTCCGAGAAGCAGAAGTTTTTTGAAGCTTTTATTCGGAAAATATTTCGAGTAGTAGGTTTCATGTACGTGAAGTTAAAAAAGACCAAAAAAATAAAAAAAGAAACCGAGGATTGGTTGTGACCTATTTCTCCTATGCTGTTCACCAGGCGAATGTCCTTCACAGTTTCACATATAATTGTTATTGTCAAATTTGAAATTTCTGGCAGAGGTTAGCAATTTTCTGTTTGTCAGCCTTTTTGTGCACACGAGTCACTGTAGCAGCATTGCGTTTTGCCCCTCCCGCCCCCCCTCCCCCCCAAGGTTCAAAAACTAAACGGTGATACGTTGTTCTCGTACTAACAAAGGGCCTCGTTCCACACCACTTACAAATCCTTACATTGTTTTTTTTTTTTTTTTTTAAATCAGATGGCTCCATTCTATTGGTGGGGAGCTGCACCTGCTGGGACTTACATTGTAAGGGTGCCCTAACTGGGCCAGGGGCCTGGACCCATTCGCGAAGTATTCTACGACTTTGTTCAGGATTTCGATCACGTGTGGCCTCGAGTCCTCGAGTGACACAGTACGGCCGTCGAATAGATAGGATCTCGACAGCCTGGTTCCAAGCGGGGACTGTAAAGATGCCCACCTCCCGTCCAATGAGATGCGTCGAAAAAGAAAAAAAAAAACAAAGTTGGACTAACTTGGATATGATAGCTCGTGGCTTTGCGTGGGCGGGAAGTCTGGATTTTATGGGCTCTAAAGGGGGGGGTTGATTTCCAGACTTCGTTTTTTTTTTTTTTTGGCTCTGAGAAATAAAACTTGAAATGTGAAATTCAGATATAGTGGTTCCGCGTCTTTCGGATGGCTTGTTAGAGACATCATGAGATACATGGGGATGAATGTATCCCTATAGCCATTACTTGTTCATCCTCGTGGCTGTGTTCGTGGACACATTTTATTGCCACGGTACATCACTATGAAGACTTACGTGAAGGAGATCGTACCAACCCATGAATTCGGGTGCACAGCTGTTCTTCATACTTTTATGTGCTATTTCAATTCATTTTAAATCAGAAAAGATCCATTCATGCAAATAAAAAATCACTCTGTATTTTCCAGAAAACCATAAAATTGCGTTACACATCGTAGAATACTTCGCTAGTGGGTCCAGGCCCCAGGGTGATGAATTTACCCTAACTTCTTTTTCGTTCCACGAAAACGGAAAGAAGTTGAGATGGGAGCGCTACGGTCGTGAGCGCATGGGGAACGAACCGGCCAGCGGGCGTGGCGGTCTTGCTACCCAAGACCTCAAAGTTGACGAGGACGACAGGAGATGTTGACGTCATCGCAGCGTGGAAGGTAGGTTGACCCAACGGGTATGGTGGAGCCGCGGCGACGCGGGCAGGGTAGGAATACCCTATAGTCAACGAGCGAACGGTGTCCTTGCGAGTGGAGCGCTGCGAATAACACAAGGTGATCATGAGGACGATACCAAGAAGATAATGAAATCAGATTTTCAACACACGATGGCTTCTGCAGAGCGGGGGGGTCTCGAGGCGGACTGCTGGCTCTCTAGGTTGAAGGAATGTTGGGAAAAACTTCGGGCTACGGTGGTCCAACTCTCATCCCACCCCCTGTTTGGTCTTGAGGTTGAAGGGGGAGCAAACTCTGTAACCGGATGGGTGGAGGCCATAGTGCAGCGCATGTTGGAAATCATCGAGCCTTTTGAAGAGGCGCCTGCCATGGAGATAGATGCCTATATTGACGGGCACCGAGCAAACGATTTATGGAGCAATTGTCTTCAACTTCAGGCCGAAGCACGTGCGTGGGGTGTGGAGGTAATTAGGCGCTCACAGGCAGCAGGATTTTCAACTTCGCCACTATTACCAGCAGTATCGTCGACGGTATCAACAACAAAATCAACGACAACATCATCAACAACATTAACAACAGCATCAATAACAACATCAAAGTGGGTGGCATTTTGTCCCTTCATTCATCAAGTCTGGCTGGTGTTTTGAAAGTGCTTGGGATAACTTGCCCTGTGTTTCCAATTGGCTATAGCCTGTGGAATGGATTTGCCTTGCTGCAAGGTTATCTGCTTCAATCCGATTGTCTGGTCTCGATTGATCTCGTTGATCTCATAGATATTGTATTATTGATCTATTACGAATGAGTGATTTCCCCGTGTTACTGTGGACCGGGGAACCTACCCCTTGCGGGAACTATG